CCACAAAATTTTCATCTATGAACTTTGCTTTTTTAGGTCTAGGCCTCTGTGGGCCTTCATTGTTAATAACATAGCCACTCCGAGCCTTTAAAATCCCATAATTCCATAGGAGTGAAACATATCTCAAACGAAGGGATTGAGAAATAATTCCATCAGATGGTATTTGTAGTCCATCACTCAAAAACTCAGCGTATGCAGCAACAAAAACTCTACAATCACTGCATGGTATATCATCAATTAGAAAATATAATAAACCTAATGTTAACATCACATTTCGATAGTGGTAAGACTAGAAAAATAATGTGCTACTACTTACAAACTATTGCTTGCTTGTTGGGCAATACCAGTAACATGTATGACTTCGAATGGGTGAGATTTGTTCTTGCCCTGGTAAGATTCAAGAACTGACCAGGTGGTTCGGTCTTTTTCTCATAAAATCCGTTGGATTCAAGGTACTTTGGCAACATTGTAGACAACTTTTGAATCTCGGCGCACAATTTTCTGTTAGTCCTAGATGAGGACATCGAATCATACACCTTTATGTGTCGTTCCTTCAATACAATGACTGCCAAGACCCAATGAAACTCCCCATTGCAATTTACAGGGACATAAACCTTATCTGTGAGGTGCCAAGGCAGTCTAGCAGGTATACCAAACCCTTTGATAGTGCCAACGATTTTATTCTCATATTCAGGAACAACACTGGCATTGTCAATGTATGTTTTGAAAAAACAATTAGTAGTGGTATATCGATATTTAGAATGACTCTGTTGCTTCGACTTCTTCCGCAAATAGTATAAAATGACATCCACATACTGCACAGATGCATCAACAAGTGTTTTTCTGTATCAATTTATTTGTATGTATTCATGTCTTAATCAAAAGATAAAAGTGGGCATGAATTTACCTCATCAGTCCAACACTTATTAGGTTGAGACATTACGTAGAACCAGTCCTTCTTCTTTGGAAATGCAAATACAAAATCCAGTTGTTTGAACTCAAGATTCGAGCAATTGGCTAAGTAGTGATCATCCTTATCTCTTCTGTAATTTTGTAATTATTATAAATAAATATTTAGTGGACAACAAGAAGATATACTAATAAGAGTTGAACAACTTTACTTTTTTGCATGATGCTTGTAAAAACCTTCGCTTATCCATTGCGAGAAGGATGACATTAGTTCAGTTGGACCCTCGCCGTCAATGTTAAAACCTTCAAATGGATATTGTTGCTTCATATCACAACTAACGACTTTGACTTTCTTCTCTTTCTTTTTCTCTTTCTCTTTCACTTTCTTTTTCACTTTCTCCTTCTCCTTCTCCTTCTCCTTCTCTTGCTCCTTCTCCTTCTCCTTCTCCTGCTCCTGCTCCTTTTCCTTCTCCTCCTCCTCCTTCTCCTTGTCCTTGCCATTTAGGTTTGAGTGTGATACTGGAGCAGTAGTCATTGATTTTTTTCTTTCAATAATTATAGATAGTGATTGGAAAATAATTTTTTTCAACCTCCTACACTTCAGTGATTGGAAAATAATTTTTTTCAACCTCCTACACTTCAAAGGTTGTGAAATCTTCTTGCATGTACGAACATCAATATTATAAGTTATTTCCTTAAAAATATCAGTGAGTTCCTTAATACTACTAATAAAATAATTATGTTGCTGCTCACATTCTTCGCATAGACAAATAGCATTTGATGTTAGAAGAGGAAGCAACACCAATAAAAGATTGAGTTGTTGTCATGGATGAAGCCTCTTGTATCATTTCATCTACAAGGTAAATAAAAAACGGTTGAGAGTTTACAATTGATTATAAAATAATAATAGATAGCAATTTATACTTATGTTGACAGAGATGGATATTATGTTGACATATATGTACCTTCTATTGCCACAAATGAATCTTCTGTGGCCACACATAAATCTTCATGTGCTTCAAATGAATCTTCTGTTACTACATATGACTATTTTATTGCCCTAACACATAGGTGATATGTTCCAACATATGACAACTCTGTTGGAATATATACCAACATATCATTAAAATGTAGCAACATACGACACATCTTTCAACAAATGAAATATATGTTGGATAACTGAATAAGACTATATTTTTAAAATCATATGAACAAAATGGTCACAAAAAACAACAAAAGCAACAAAAGATGATTTTTCACTGAATGTTAACAATACATATACATTTCCTCAAAATTAGGGCTTTTTTGGGTTTGTTGATTTTCTTTCAAAACAATAAATAATAGGTACCATTATACTATTATTCAATTTTCACATCTATAGAACGATTTATTGTTCATTAATCCAAGAAAAAAACTTAGTATTGTTCGAAAATTGTAAAATCTTTCAAAAAACTGACTTACCCATTTTAAGTTGAACACAATCTTCAGTTCAGAAAGGAGAGAGAGTCACGGCCGGAGATGAGGACGAAGATAAGATAATGGGGGAAAATATTTGTTTTGATAGTCGGATTTTTGGATTTTCTAAGGAAGAAGAAGAAGAGAAGAGAGAACGTTGGGAGAAGAAGAAAGAAAATTCTATTTTCTTTTACCTTTTTTTAACTGGTTTGGATAGAATTGTAAAAGTTGAAAAAATGAAGTGTTTTTTTTGTATTTTATGAAAGATTAGAAAGTTTTGAAAATGTTAATTTGGTCCCAGATTTACTTAATTACATTTTAAAGTGAATTTGACCATTTCTTGGTCAAAGTGTCACCAAAAACAAAACTCAAACTTAATTGATACCTTTCATTTAATTGTCTCTACTTTCTTCTTCTTCTTCCTATTCTATAGTTTCATAACAAAAAGAAAAATCGTTTTGTTATTTGTTACCTATTTTTTTGGATTCATTCTTATCTATTATCATTTTTTTTGTTATAATACTCTAAAGTTTTAAAAAATTAAAATTAAAATAAAATAATACGTAAATTAAGAATTTTGTTTTGTTATTTGTTACTTTTTGGGAGGGTCTAAATCTTTATTTATTATAGAAAAAATTTAATCCTGCAAAAATATTGTTGTTACTTTTATTTCTAATTCTGTAAAGTAATACGTAAAATAATATATACAATATAAAAAATAAAATTCATGAATGAATTCGAATTAAACTTATTGGATTCATTCTTATCTATTATCAGGAAAAAATGTCTGAAAGTGGCTAATATATATACTTTTACTGTTATACAAATTAAACCACGAGTTTGAGTACACCAATTTTTTAACATGTAAATTGGCCGTTGGTGTTAAATGGCAAACATGTGTTTGTTATTTAGTCGCTTTCAAAATAGTACAGGTCCATGTGAGGGAGAGTTAATAGTAGTAGCTAACTCGCAGCCGTGCAATTATTATCTTTCATTTTACTCTCTTATATTCATTCACTCTCAACCTATTTTTCTTACTCCAACCATTACACCCATTTAAAAGTTTTTTAACTTTGTTTGGTATTTGACAAACTTTCAATAAAGTCATAAATGGCTAACTTGAACTAAATAAGAAATTAGAATTACGACAGTAGGAAATTCATAGAAATTTACATTGAAGAAGTCTAATAGAGAGAAAACACGAAAAAATAAATAACAAAGAAAAAAATACAACATGCACATCCTTCTAAAGACTTTAATCATAAAAATATAGATGAAAAAAAAGAAATACAAAATAATTAGGGAAATAGGTCTGAAATATATTCGAACTTTGACCGAAATTGCTGTAACAATACCGAACTTTGGAAAGGACCTTTTACCCCCTTGCACTATTTAATAATATATTTTAAAGGTATATATGTGTCCACGTGGACATCATAAATATTGCATCATTATAAATAGTAACGTGTCCACGTGGGCACATATATACCTTTAAAATACACTATTAAAAAGTGCAAGGGGTAAAAGGTCCTCAATAAAGTTTGGTATCGTAACAACAATTTCGGCCAACTTTGAAGTATTTTTCAGACCCTTTTCCCAAATAATTACTTAATTCTTTGAGCTCTTATCGACATCTTCCCTCTTAACCAATCAAAATTCAAGAACCTTCTTCATCAAGTCAAACTAAAACATGAATCAAAATAGTACAACAATAATGTAAGTATTTCACTACTTTAACGACATAATACATAAATGTACCATTTAATTTTGATTCAACTGGTATCTATGCCTCTAACGTTGGGTATGCACAAGTAGACAAACCGAGTTTGAGTACTCCAATTTTTTAACATGTAAATTCGCCGTTGGTGTTAAATGCCAAACATGTGTTTGTTGGTTAGTCTCTTTCAAAATAGTACATGTCCATGTGAGGGAGAGTTAATAGTAGTAGCTAACTCACAGCCGTGCAATTATTATCTTTCATTTTACTCTCTTGTATCACTCTCAACCTATTTTTCTTACTCCAACCATTTACATCCATTTAAAAGTTTTTTTAACTTTGTTTAGTACTTGACAAACTTTTAATAAAGTCACAAATGGCTAACTTGAACCAAATAAGAATACAGACTTACGACAGTAGGAAATTCATAGAAAATTACATTAAAGAAGTCTAATAGAGAGAAAACACGAAAAAATAAACAACAAAGGAAAAAAATACAACACGCACATCCTTCTTAACACTTTAATCATAAAAATAAAGATTAAAAAAAATAAAAAAATACAAAAGAAATACTTAATTTTTCGAGCTCTTGTCGACATCTTCCCTCTTAACCAATCAAAATTCAAGAGCCTTCTTCATCAAGTCAAATTAAAACATATATCAAAATAGTACAACAATAATGTATGTGTTTCACTACTTTTAACGACATAATACATAAATGTGTCATTTAATTTTGATTCAACTTATATCTATGCCCTCCAACGTTGGGTATGCACAAGTAGACAAACCGAGTTTGAGTACTCCATTTTTAACATGTAAATTCGCCGTTGGTGTTAAAAAGCAAACATCATGTGTTTGTTGTTTAGTCGCTTTCAAAACAGTACAGGTCCATGCGAGGGAGAGTTAATAGTAGTAACTAGCTCAAAGCCTTGCAATTATTAGCTTTCATTTTACTCTCTTGTATTCATTCACTCTCAACCTATTTTTCTTACTCATCAATTAATCAGATATGGAATTCTTATCTATCTTTGTGGACAAGGTAACAGATTGCTTGATCCAGCCAGTTGCGCGAGGGATTGGGTATTTATTTTACTACAAGAGCAACATCAGATCTATGGAAGATGAATCTAAGAAGATGGAGGATATCAGAATTGGGGTGCATCAACGAGCGGAGGCTGACCAGAGAAACTTACAAGTCATTTCACTCAATGTTGAGGCTTGGTTTACAAGTGTTAATTCTACTACTGCAGATGTGGCAGCTGTAATGCGACGATGTAGAATTGAGGTTGAAAGATATGGTTGGTGTCCAAACTTGAAGTCACGTTACTCGCTGAGCAGGAGAGCTAAGAAAATTGAACTGGAGTTGATTAAACTTCGAAATGAAGGCAATGCTTTTGCTGTTTTCTCCTATCCTGCTGTCGAAATTGCAGTTATACCTAGTAACAGTGGTGAGGAGTTTGACTCCAGAAAATTGCAAGAGGAAGAGGTCATGGCAGCTTTGAGAGATGACGGGGTTACTATGATTGGGATATGTGGTATGGGTGGTGTTGGTAAGACAACACTGGCTGAGAAAATCAGACAAAAGGCGAAACAAGGAAGTTTGTTCAATGATGTTGTCATGGTAATTGTCAGTCAACAACCAGACCCTAAAAGAATTCAGGGTGAGATCGCAAGAGGAGTTGGGCTAACATTAGACGGGGATGATATGTCTAGTCGTGGAGATCGGCTGCATAGAAGGTTAATGGATCAGAATAGCTGCATCCTTATAATCTTGGATGATGTTTGGAAGGCTCTTGATCTAAAGAGACTTGGAATTCCATGTGGAAGCAACCACAACCATCGGTGCAAAGTGACATTCACAACGCGTTTCCGATCTGTTTGTGAAGCAATGGAAGCTCAGAAGATCATGGAAGTTGGAACGTTATCCGAAGAGGAAGCATGGATCCTTTTCAGGCAGAAAGTCGGTGATTTTGTCGACGATCCTTCTCTTCATGACATAGCAAAAGAGGTTGCCAAAGAATGCAAGGGGCTGCCTCTTGCAATTATTACAGTTGCAGGAGCACTAAAAAAGCATAAAAACAAGCGTTCGTGGGACTGTGCCCTTGAAGAATTACGCAGTGCAGTAACAATAAGTATCCGTGAAGTGCCCACAGAGTTGTACAATCCTCTGAGGCTAAGCTATGATTACTTGCAAAGTAATGAAGCCAAGCACCTCTTTTTGCTTTGTTCCTTGTTCGAGGAAGATAGTGATATCTGTCCTGAAGAATTACTTAGATATGGAATGGGTCTTCACATCTTTTCAGCAGTAAAAAACTTAGAAGATGCAAGAAATAAGGTGTGTTATATGTTAGAAACATTCAAAGATTGTTTCTTGTTATCCCAAGGATCAGACAAAAATTATGTCAAAATGCATGATGTGGTACGTAACGTGGCTATATATATAGCGTCTGAGGGCAAGCATATATTTATGGTAAGTCATGATGTGAACTCAGAAGAGTTTCCAAGAAAAGACTCTTACGAGCAATACACTCACATGTCAATTGTTGCAAATAACTTTGATGAGCTTCCTAGCCCAATCATTTTCCCCAAACTGAAGCTTCTAATGTTGAAACTCTGTTTTGAAGAGTCATTCAAGTTACAGGATGATTTTTTTGATGGAAAGAGTGAACTCAATGTCTTAAGCCTGAGGGGAACCAGATATACGAATCCCATTGTGCCTTTTCCAGAATCCATTAAGAAGTTGTCAAATCTGAGGACGCTGTGTCTGAGTGAACTAAGGTTGGATGACATATCCATTATTGGGGAACTTGTCAAATTAGAAATTCTCAGCATTATAGATTCTGAGTTAGAGGAGCTGCCAGTGGAGATAGGAAAATTGACCAATCTAATTATGTTAGAGTGGCGGAATGTGGATATAGAACTTAAAAGGATTGCAGCAGGGGTCTTATCAAGACTAGTTCGATTGGAGGAACTACATATGATGGAGGTAGAAGATTGTAGTTACTCGACTTTGAGTGATCTGGAATCCTTATCGAGATTGACTACACTGACATTAAGTTATTGTTCCAGGGATGTGATCTACAGTAACTTGGTCCTTCCCTCCAAGTTGACACGGTACGCTCTTAAAGTGGGTGAAGCAACTTTAAGAAGGGATGATTACGACAAGAATATTGCTTTAGAGGTCACGGAGACCACCCCATTGGGTGATTGGATCCGCCACCTGTTGAAGGAGAGCGAATTCGTATATTCAACCGGAAAGGGCTCTAATAATGTGTTGACTGAGTTGCAGCTGAATAAATTTCAGAATGTAAAATGTCTCAGCCTCTTTGATTATGATTTAGTGACGTTTTTATGGAACATCTCTGGGAGGACACATGAAGTAATTAAGTTCCCCAATTTATATGAGTTGAAGCTTGAATTTCTGCAATGCCTCACTCACTTTTGCAGTGACAATGTTGAGGGAATTGAGTTCCCTCGGTTGCGGAAAATGGAGTTCTACAGATTACCTGAGTTCCAAAATTTCTGGCCTACAGCCAACAACTCCATCACTCACTCAAATCCTCTTTTTCATGAAAAGGTTTGCTTCATACTTTTTCAGTTTTTATTTGGAGGGTTGTTTGAGCATTAAAGATTATTTACTTACAGAGAGTCTATTTTTTCACCATTATACAAATGACTTAGATATACCTTTCTTGTATAACGAACAAGTGAAAAATTAATTTTAAATTGATCTTTTTAATTTGTTATTTAAAAAATACATATACGACTATATTTGATCCTTCTCACACATGAAGGTTTTTTGAATTTTTTTTTTTACTTCTTTTATTCAACGGCTAATTTTAGTTTTAAATATCTCCTTCTATTTGCTTATCATTATTTGAAATTCTTATATTTATTTCATGGTTTTTGTGCGAAAATAAATAGATATGGAAAAAGAAGAAAAAAGTAAGAACAACTTTAAGACTTATTTTTATAGCTATATTGTTAGTATTTATTTTTCGAAAAAGGGTCAAAATGTCTTTAAACTATGTGAAATGAACAAAAGTGCCCTACGTTTATACTTGGAAGTTTGCAGGTTTCTTGTCCCAACTTGGAAAGGCTATGTATCCACAGTGCTTCCAGCATAACTGCTCTATGCTCTAAGCAACTTCCAACTCCCTACTTTAGCAAACTTGTAAAATTGGAAGTACATAATTGCAGAAAATTGAGAAACTTGATGTCTCCATCAGTGGCTAAAGGTCTTCTGAATCTCCGGGAACTAGAAATTGTAAACTGCCAATCAATGGAAGAAGTGATCACAAAAGGAGAAGGAATCATGACCTTATTTCCCCTGTTGGAAGAGCTCAAGCTTCAGACACTGCCTAAGCTGGGGCATTTCTTTCTGACGGAGCATGCTCTTCAGAATCCATTTCTTAGAGAAGTAAAGATATATGACTGCCCTGAAATGAAGACATTTATCCAACAAGGAATATCTGTCAGTCTTGAAAGTGATGATGAGGTGAAAGTAATGTTCAATTCTAAGGTTTGTCTTTATAACTAATTACTGCTCTCTTTCCGTTTTAACTAGTAAGTAGTAACTGTTATTTCTGTTCCACTTCCTGTTACCTTGACGTAAGATGATATATGGTTCATTTTTTTATTTCTACTAGAAGCTATATTCAATTTTCATCCCTTCAACATTTGCAGGTATTTTGTCCAAACTTGGAAGAGCTATATATCTCGGGGGCTAACAGCATAAATGCCCTATTCTCTTACCAACTTCCAACTGCCTACTTCAGCAAACTTGAAATATTACAAGTCTATCATTGCGAAAAATTGAGATACTTGATGTCTCAATCAGTGGCCAACGGTCTTCTGAATCTCCGGGAGCTAATGATAAAAGACTGCCAATCAATTGAAAAAGTGATCACAGAAGAGGAACAACAAGGAGAAGGAATCATGACATTATTTCCCCTGTTGGAAAAGCTGCACCTTCAAACACTGCCTAAGTTGGGGCATTTCTTTCTCACAGAGCATGCTCTTAAATTTCCATTTCTTAAACAAGTGACGATATATGGCAGCCCTGAAATGAAGACGTTTGTCCAACAGAAATCTGTGAGTACACCAAGTTTTGAAAGTGTGAACAATGATGATGAGGTGAAAGTAGATGATCTCAATAAAGCCATGTTTAATTCTAAGGTTTGTCTTGTGCCTCTACCTGTATAGCTAATTACTATATATATTTGTGTCATACGTTAATACACCCCTGGTCTACTGCTATCTTTCCATTTTAACTAGCAAATAATGGTAGTAATATTAATCTTTTCAGATAGCTATAGCAAATAAAAGTTTATTTTTAATCATCCCCCTCCTTCCACCCCCTTTGAACAAAAAAAAATTGTTTCCAGAAAAACTTTATAGTTTTTTCTTCCCTCGCACCCCCTACCCCAACCACCTTCACCCCAAAAAAATATTAACGCCTTTTTTCTTTCTTTTACGGATGAGCCTCTTTTACTCATTCTACCCATTTAAATAACCACTTTTAAATGGGTAAAATGAGGTTTACTCATTGTTTACCTATTTTCAATGAGTTGACTACCCAACACCTTTAAAATGGGTAAATTTGAATAGGTACCCATATAAATTATCCATTTTGCCACCACTAGGCGAAATTGCAATATTGTAACCCAGGGTTCACGTGAACCCAATATCTTTTGCCTAGTGACTTTAATTTGTATTATTAATATCTAGAGATACATTGATTATGAATGTGATTGTTATTGGATATTAACCTGAGGTTTTTAGATATATCTATACATTTCAAATTATGAATGGGCATCTCATCCTAAATACTTTATATTTTGCGCCTCAATAGGATTAATAAGGTGAGACATATCGCCTTGCTTGTACTTTTTCATTTTTCATTTTGTTTTCATTATATATACTAGTTTTTGGACACTTGCACGTGTGTCCCATAAAAATGTTAATAGATCCATTAGAACGATAAGAGTTGTATGAAAACATGCTTGCAATGAGTAATAATGAAGCAATTACAAATAAAACTTGATAAGTGTGACAAGAAACACCACATGAGTGGCGTAATTTAATGTTTGAAATTAATTCATTTCAAACAACCAACTCTAAATTTTTAACTTTGTTTAGTAGTTAACAAACTTTCAATAAAGTCACAAATGGCTAACTTGAACCAAATAAGAATACAGACTTACGACAGTAAGAAATTCATAGAAATTTACAATATTTTAATTTAGTATATGGGTAAAATAATAATTCAACGTTGTACTTTGGAGCTTTCCACTTAACTAATAATATATAATATGTGCATTTATTCTCTCATGTAAATTTATATTCTATGTTGTTTTAAAAGAATGCTTTTTAAAATACTTGTTTTATATGAGTAATTTGACCTTAGATGTTTAAGCACTTTTGGATTCTCAGTGTTGGGTGTTAATATGCAACAAAGTTTGATACTTGGAAGTTTGCAGGTTTCTTGTCCCAATTTGGAAAAGTTATATATACGGAATTGCGGAAAATTGAGAAAGTTGATGTCTCCATCAGTGGCTAGAGGTCTTCTGAATCTCCGGAGACTAGAGATTGAAGACTGCCATTCAATGGAAGAAGTGATCACAGAAGAGGAACAACAAGGAGAAGGAATCATGACATTATTTCCCCTGTTTGAAAACCTGCACCTTCAAACACTGCCTAAGTTGGGGCATTTCTTTCTCACAGAGCATGCTCTTAAATTTCCATTTCTTAAACAAGTGCAGATATATAGCTGCCCTGAAATGAAGACGTTTGTCCAACAGAAATCTGTGAGTACACCAAGTTTCGAAAGTGTGAACAGTGCTGATGAGGTGAAAGTAGATGATCTCAATAAAGCCATGTTTAATTCTAAGGTTTGTCTTGTGCCTCTACCTGTATAACTAATTAATATATATATTTGTGTCATACGATAATACACCCCTGGTCTACTGCTATCTTTCCATTTTAACTAGCAAATAATGGTAGTAATATTAATCTTTTCAGATAGCTATAGCAAATAAAAGTTTTTTTTTAATCATCCCCCTCCTTCCACCCCCTTTGAACAAAATAAAATTGTTTCCAGAAAAACTTTAGAGTCTTTTCTTCCCTCACACCCCCTACCCCAACCACCTTCACCCAAAAAAAATATTAACGCCTTTTTTCTTTCTTTTACGGATGAGCCTCTTTTACTCATTCTACCCATTTAAATACCCACTTTTAAATGGGTAAAATGAGTTTTACTCATTGTTTACCTATTTTAAATGAGGTGAGTACCCAACGCCTTTAAAATGGGTAAATTTGAATAGGATACCCATATAAATTATCCATTTTGCCACCCCTAGGCGAAATTGCAATATTGTAACGCAGGGTTCACGTGAACCCAATAGCTTTTGCCTAGTGACTTTAATTTGTATTATTAATATCTAGAGATACATTGATTATGAACGTGATTGTTATTGGATATTAACCTGAGGTTTTTAGAGATATCTATACATTTCAAATTATGAATGGGCATCTCATCCTAAATACTTTATATTTTGCGCCTCAATAGGATTAATAAGGTGAGACATATCGCCTTGCTTGTACTTTTTCATTTTTCATTTTGTTTTCATTATATATACTCGTTTCTAGACACTTGCACGTGTCCCATAAAAATGTTAATAGATCCATTAGAACGATAAGAGTTCTATAAAAACATGCTTGCAATGAGTAATAATGAAGCAATTACAAATAAAACTTGAAAAGTGTGACAGGAAACACCACATGAGTGGCGTAATTTAATGTTTGAAATTAATTCATTTCAAACAACCAACTCTAAATTTTTAACTTTGTTTAGTAGTTAACAAACTTTCAATAAAGTCACAAATGGCATACTTGAACCAAATAAGAATACAGACTTACGACAGTAAGAAATTCATAGAAATTTACAATATTTTAAGTTAGTGTATAGGTAAAATAATAATTCAACGTTGTACTTTGGAGCTTTCCACTTAACTAATAATATATAATATGTGCATTTATTCTCTCATGTAATTTTATATTCTATGTTGTTTTTGAAGAATGCTTTTTAAAATACTTGTTTTATTTGAGTAATTTGACCTTAGATGTTTAAGCACTTTTGGATTCTCAGTGTTGGGTGTTAATATGCAACAAAGTTTGATACTTGGAAGTTTGCAGGTTTCTTGTCCCAACTTGGAAAAGCTATATATATGGAATTGCGGAAAATTGAGAAACTTGATGTCTCCATCAGTGGCTAGAGGTCTTCTGAATCTCCGGGAGCTAATGATAAAAGACTGCCAATCAATTGAAAAAGTGATCACAGAAGAGGAACAACAAGGAGAAGCAATCATGACCTTATTTCCCCTGTTGGAAGAGCTGCACCTTCTAACACTTCCTAAGTTGGGGCATTTCTTTCTCACAGAGCATGCTCTTAAATTTCCATTTCTTAAACAAGTGACGATATATGGCTGCCTTGAAATGAAGACGTTTTTCCAACAGATATCTGTGAGTACACCAAGTTTCGAAAGTGTGAACAATGATGATGAGGTGAAAGTAGATGATCTCAATAAAGCCATGTTTAATTCTAAGGTTTGTCTTGTGCCTTTACCTGTATAGCTAATTACTATATATATATATTTGTGTCATACGTTAATACACCCCTGGTCTACTGCTATCTTTCCATTTTAACTAGCAAATAATGATAGTAATATTAATCTTTTCAGATAGCTATAACAAATAAAAGTTTTTTTTTAATGATCCCCCTCCTTCCACCCCCTTTGAACAAAAAAAATTGTTTCCAGAAAAACTTTAGAGTTTTTTCTTCCCTCACACCCCCTACCCCAACCACCTTCACCCCAAAAAAATATTAACGCCTTTTTTTTTTCTTTTACGGATGAGCCTCTTTTACTCATTCTACCCATTTAAATAATCACTTTTAAATGGGTAAAATGAATTTTACTCATTGTTTACCTATTTTAAATGAGTTAACTACCCAACACCTTTAAAATGGGTAAATTTGAATAGGTACCCATATAAATTATCCATTTTGCCACCCCTAGGTGAAATTGCAATATTGTAACCCAGGGTTCACGTGAACCCCATAGCTTTTGCCTAGTGACTTTAATTTGTATTATTAATATCTAGAGGTACATTGATTATGAAAGTGATTGTTATTGGATATTAACCTGAGGTTTTTAGAGATATCTACACATTTCAAATTATGAATGGGCATCTCATCCTAAATACTTTATATTTTGCGCCTCAATAGGATTAATAAGGTGAGACATATAGCCTTGCTTGTACTTTTTCATTTTTCATTTTGTTTTCATTATATATACTAGTTTCTGGACATTTACACGTGTGTCCCATAAAAATGTTAATAGATCCATTAGAACGATAAGAGTTATATGAAAACATTCTTGCAATGAGTAATAATGAAGCAATTACAAATAAAACTTGAAAAGTGTGACAAGAAACACCACATGAGTGGCGTAATTTAATGTTTGAAATTAATTCATTTCAAACAACCAACTCTAAATTTTTAACTTTGTTTAGTAGTTAACAAACTTTCAATAAAGTCACAAATGGTTAACTTGAACCAAATAAGAATACTGACTTACGACAGTAAGAAATTCATAGAAATTTACAATATTTTAATTTAGTATATGGGTAAAATAATAATTCAACGTTGTACTTTGGAGCTTTCCACTTAACTAATAATATATAATATGTGCATTTATTCTCTCATGTAATTTTATATTCTATGTTGTTTTAAAAGAATGCTTTTTAAAATAATTCTTTTATTTGGGTAATTTGACCTTAGATGTTTAAGCACTTTTGGATTCTCAGTGTTGAGTGTCAATATGCAACAAAGTTTGATACTTGGCAGTTTGCAGGTTTCTTGTCCCAACTTGGAAAAGCTATATATAATGAATTGCGGAAAATTGATAAACTTGATATCTTCATCAGTGGCTAGAGGTCTTCTGAATCTCCAGAGACTAGAGATTGAAAACTGCTATTCAATGGAAGAAGTGATCACAGAAGAGGAACAACAAGGAGAAGGAGTCATGACGTTATTTCCCCTGTTGGAAGAGTTGAACCTTACAAAACTGTCTAAGCTAGGGCATTTCTTTCTGACGGAGCATGCTCTTAAATTTCCATTTCTTAGAAAAGTGGAGATATCTGACTGCCCTGAAATGAAGACGTTTATCCAACAGAAATCTGTGAGTACACCAAGTTTCGAAAGTGTGAACAGTGATAATGAGGTGAAAGTAGATGATCTCAATAAAGCCATGTTTAATTCTAAGGTTTGTCTTGTGCCTCTACCCATATAGCTAATTACTATATATATTTGTGTCATACGTTAATACACCCCTGGTCTACTGCTATCTTTCCATTTTAACTAGCAAATAATGATAGTAATATAAATATTTTCATATAGCTATAGCAAATAAAAGTTTATTTTTAATCATCCCCCTCCTTCCACCCCCTTTGAACAAAAAAAAATTGTTTCCAGAAAAACTTTATAGTTTTTTCTTCCCTCACACCCTCTACCCCAACCACCTTCACCCAAAAAAAATATTAACGCCTTTTTTCTTTCTTCGGATGAGCCTCTTTTACTCATTCTACCCATTTAAATACCCACTTTTAAATGGGTAAAATGAGTTTTACTCATTGTTTACCTATTTTAAATGAGTTGAGTACCCAACGCCTTTAAAATGGGTAAATTTGAATAGGTACCCATATAAATTATCCATTTTGCCACCACTAGGCGAAATTGCAATATTGTAACCCAGGGTTCACGTGAACCCAATAGCTTTTGCCTAGTGACTTTAATTTGTATTATTAATATCTGGAGATACATTGATTATGAACGTGATTGTTATTGGATATTAATGTCACGACCCAAAAATGGACGTGATGGCACTCGTCTTATCCCACCAAGACAAGTCAGCCTAACACTCACCCATTACAATAAAATGCGGAAATTTCATAATTAACTTAAAAATACCCCAAAATCTGGTTGTCACGTGCACAAGCCTCTAAAGTATTACAATTGAATCAAAAGGAAAATACAAGTCTCATATGACATTGTTTCTAGAGTAGAACAAGATCATAAACAGGAGTAAGAAGGATCGCTGAGAAGACAAACAACTGCCTTACAAATCTCCCAGAAGCCTCGAAAAAGAAGAGAATAACAAGTACCACAAAAATCCAGGCTCATAACCTACAAAAATTTGTAGAAGCAAAGGGTGAGTACCAAACCACACGGTACTCAACAAGTAAACCTCTAAACACGAGCTAAGGGGATAGAATACAAGTACTCCTTACACCCCAACCGAACCTTCACAACTACAATCTGTATAAAACCAGCCCAACCTAACAGTTCAAAGTTTACAAAGCACATAGTTCAACACAACACTCTAACAATTTCATATCTTCAACAACAAGCTCAATAATTCATCAGTCACAAGTTCCATAGAAAGGCACTCACAAGATCAGCAACACACAAGATCAAGTTCACCAATAATAAAGAAGTGCAATGCAATGAAATGCAATGTCAAGTATAGTGATGCATGTCTGACCTAATGATACACACCCGCTGTCTCTCAGTCCGGGACCCATGGGGGACATATCTGTCCATGCATCCATCGCGGCGCGCGATACACCCTCGATAATAGTAACCATCGCGCGCGCATACGTCCTCGAAATATAGTATCCGTCGCGGCGCGCGACACGTCCCTCGAAATATAGTATCCATCGCGGCGCGATACGTCCCTCGAAATGGTACATCCTCTTTATTTTCTTATTCTTTCTCAATGCACATAACACTTGTCACAACCATGTCTCGGAACAATGCAAATAACATGTTCACACAAATAATGAAGAGATGACCATTTTCATAACATTGCACAATTCACAACAACACAATCAGGATACAACATCAACAATGATTCAACAAGCCTTTCAAACAATTCTCAACACATCACACAAACAATTGATCACATTGCCTTTTATTATCCCTTTCTCATCATTAGAATTAATCAATGTGGACAAGTCAACCCATCACCAAGTCTCATAACTCTAAACACATATTACAAGGAAATACATGAATTCCATACACTTAACAAGGGTTTAGAAATCCACTTGCCTCAAATAGTCGAACAATCACTCTGGGAGTTAAGTCTTCCCTTTTCATTGAACTTCCAAATCAAAGCAATCTATTCAAATAAATGACCACAATAAGATTCCAAAACTAACAACACTCATATTACTATGTGTTTAGCTTTGACCCAAAAATTTACCCAAGTTTATAATCAAGTTCTTAAGCTCGATGTCCATTAACATGTCAACTTTCATATTTCTCAAATTCATGCCTAAGGTTAAGTCATAATTTCTCCAACACTATAACCCTAATAGCTTTCATATAATATAATACACATAATATTTACTTACATGTATCAATAGGTTAAGATAGGAGTCATAATGTGACAACCACGAAAAATCCAACTGGAAAATCGATACAAGAACAAAAAACCCAATAACCTCTAGTAATGAAATTATATTTTAATTCATAATCACATTCATCCTCCTAACCTTCTTTATGATTATTATCATTGTCAACTAAATGTTAGACCCATATTTCTCCAATTTCAATAACATTGTACAGTATTCCAATTTCCACTTCTTATTGATCCAAACTCACTTTCTTGTTTTTCTTTTTCTATTACAATCAACTATAATAATAATAATAATAAATAATGATAACATGACATCTATGAATATACACCAACACATTGATTAAGGCATAATTAATGTTTACCTGCGGGAGGTTCGTCGCTCATATGCTTGTGCCGACGGCTGAGGTTATGTCGTGCTTCTTTGGAGATTTCTTTTCTTTTTAAAATTAAAAGATTGATCGAAAATAATATAGGGTATTAACTTAAATTATATTAAATATGGATTTGGCCCATTTATTTTCTTTTCCTTTATTATTAACAATAAAAATAATCATTTATTAAATTTAAAAATTATATCACTCATTCTCACAAGTCATAAATCATTTATAAAAACTATTAAACGGGGCTAACTTAGAAAAATGGGTAAAATTCATAAAATGACTAAGAGGGTCGTTACAATTAACCTGAGGTTTTTAGAGATATCTATACATTTCAAATTATGAATGTGCATCTCATCCTAAATACTATATATTTTGCTCCTCAATAGGATTAATAAGGTGAGACATATCGCCTTGCTTGTACTTTTTCATTTTTCATTTTGTTTTCATTATATATACTAGTTTCTGGACACTTGCACGTGTCCCATAAAAATGTTAATAGATCCATTAGAATGATAAGAGTTGTATGAAAACATGCTTGCAATGAGTAATAATGAAGCAATTACAAATAAAACTTGAAAAGTGTGACAAGAAACACCGCATGAGTGGCGTAATTTAATGTTTGAAATTAATTCATTTCAAACAACCAACTCTAAATTTTTAACTTTGTTTAGTAGTTAACAAACTTTCAATAAAGTCACAAATGGCTAACTTGAACCAAAGAAGAATACAGACTTACGACAGTAAGAAATTCATAGAAATTTACAATATTTTAATTTAGTATATAGGTAAAATAATAATTCAACGTTGTACTTTGGAGCTTTCCACTTAACTAATTATATATAATATGTGCATTTATTCTCTCATGTAATTTTATATTCTATGTTGTTTTAAAAGAATGCTTTTAAAAATACTTGTTTTATTTGAGTAATTTGACCTTAGATGTTTAAGCACTTTTGGATTCTCAGTGTTGGGTGTTAATATGCAACAAAGTTTGATACTTGGAAGTTTGCAGGTTTCTTGTCCCAATTTGGAAAACCTATATATACGGAATTGCAGAAAATTGAGAAACTTGATGTCAACATCAGTGGCTAGAGGTCTTCTGAATCTTCGGAAACTAGAGATTGAAGACTGCCATTCAATGGAAGAAGTGATCACAGAAGAGCAACAACAAGGAGAAGGAGTCATGACATTATTTCCCCTGTTGGAAGAGCTGAACCTTACAAAATTGTCTAAGCTAGGGCATTTCTTTGTGACGGAGCATGCTCTTAAATTTCCATTTCTTAGAGAAGTGGAGATATATGACTGCCCTGAAATGAAGACGTTTATCCAACAAAAATATGTGAGTACACCAAGTTTCGAAAGTGTGAACAGTGATGATGAGATGAAAGTAGATGATCTCAATAAAGCCATGTTTAATTCTAAGGTTTGTCTTGTGCCTCTACCTATATAACTAATTATTATATATATTTGTGTCATACGTCAATACACCCCTGGCCTACTGCTATCTTTCCATTTTAACTAGAAAATAATGGTAGTAATATTAATCTTTTCAGATAGCTATAGCAAATAAAAGTTTTTTTCTAATCACCCCCCTCCTTCCAGCCCCTTTGAACAAAAAAAAATTGTTTTCAGAAAAACTTTAGAGTTTTTTCTTCCCTCACACCCCCTACCCCAAACACCTTCACCCAAAAAAAATATTAACGCCTTTTTTTTTTCTTTTACGGATGAGCCTCTTTTACTCATTCTACCCATTTAAATAACCACTTTTAAATGGGTAAAATGAGTTTTACTCATTGTTTACCTATTTTAAATGAAGTGAGTACCCAACACCTTTAAAATGGGTATATTTGAATAGGTACCTATATAAATTATCCATTTTGCCACCCCAGGCGAAATTGCAATATTGTAACCCAGGGTTCACGTCAACCCAATAGCTTTTGCCTAGTGACTTTAATTTGTATTATTAAGATCTAGAGTTACATTGATTATGAACGTGATTGTTATTGGATATTAACCTGAGGTTTTTAGAGATATCTATACATTTCAAATTATGAATGGGCATCTCATCCTAAATATTTATATTTTGCGCCTCAATAGGATTAATAAGGTGAGACATATCGCCTTGCTTGTACTTTTTCATTTTTCATTTTGTTTTCATTATATATACTAGTTTCTGGACACTTGCACGTGTCCCATAAAAATGTTAATAGGTCCATTAGAACGATAAGAGTTGTATGAAAACATGCTTGCAATGAGTAATAATGAAGCAATTACAAATAAAACTTGAAAAGTATGACAAGAAACACCACATGAGTGGCGTAATTTAATGTTTGAAATTAATTCATTTCAAACAGCCAACGCTAAATTTTTAACTTTGTTTAGTAGTTAACAAACTTTCAATAAAGTCACAAATGGCAAACTTGAACCAAATAAGAATACAGACTTACGACTGTAAGAAATTCATAGATTTTACAATATTTTAATTTAGTATATAGGTAAAACAATAATCCAACGTTGTACTTTGGAGCTTTCCACTTAACTAATAATATATAATTTGTGCATTTATTCTCTCATGTAATTTTATATTCTTTGTTGTTTTAAAAGAATGCCTTTTAAAATACTTGTTTTATTTGAGTAATTTGACCTTAGATGTTTAAGCACTTTTGGATTCTCAGTGTTGGGTGTTAATATGCAACAAAGTTTGATCCTTAGAAGTTTGCAGGTTTCTTGTCCCAATTTGGAAAAGCTATATATACGGAAATGCGGAAAATTGAGAAACTTGATGTCTCCATCAGTGGCTAGAGGTCTTCTGAATCTCCGGAGACTAGAGATTGAAGACTGCCATTCGATGGAAGAAGTGATCACAGAAGCGGAACAACAAGGAGAAGGAATCATGACCTTATTTCCCCTGTTGGAAGAGCTGCACCTTCTAACACTGCCTAAGTTGGGGCATTTCTTTCTGACGGAGCATGCTCTTAAATTTCCATTTCTTAAACAAGTGGTGATATCTGGCTGCCCTGAAATGAAGACGTTTGTCCAACAGAAATCTGTGAGTACACCAAGTTTCGAAAGTGTGAACAGTGATGATGAGGTGAAAGTAGATGATCTCAATAAAGCCATGTTTAAATATAAGGTTTGTCTTGTGGCTCTACCTGTATAGCTCGTTACTATATATATTTGTGTCATACGTTAATTACACCCCTGGTCTACTGCTATCTTTCCATTTTAACTAGCAAATAATGATAGTAATATTAATCCTTTCAGATAGCTATAGCAAATATTTTATTTTTTTTAATGATCCCCCTCCTTCCAGCCCCTTTTCACATAATAAAATTGTTTCCAGAAAAACTTTAGAGTTTTTTCTTCCCTCACACCCCCTACCCCAACCACCTTCACCCCAAAAAAATATTAACGCCTTTTTTCTTTCTTTTACGAATGAGCCTCTATTACTCATTCGACCCATTTAAATACCCACTTTTAAATGGGTAAAATGAATTTTATTATTGTTTACCTATTTTAAATGAGGTGAGTACCCAACGCCTTTAAAATAAGTAAATTTGAATAGGTACCCATATAAATTATCCATTTTGCCACCCCTAGGAGAAATTGCAATATTGCAACCCAGGGTTCACGTGAACCCAATAGCTTTTGCCTAGTGACTTTAATTTGTATTATTAATATCTAGAGATACATTGATTATGAACGTGATTGTTATTGGATATTAACCTGAGGTTTTTAGAGATATCTATACATTTCAAATTATGAATGGGCATCTCATCCTAAATACTTTGTGTTTTGCGCCTCAATAGGATTAATAAGGTGAGACATATCGCCATGCTTGTACTTTTTCATTTTTCATTTTGTTTTCATTATATATACTAGTTTTTGGACACTTGCACGTGTCCCATAAAAATGTTAATAGATCCATTAGAACGATAAGAGTTGTATGAAAACATGCTTGCAATGAGTAATAATGAAGCAATTACAAATAAAACTTGAAAAGTGTGACAAGAAACACCGCATGAGTGGCGTAATTTAATGTTTGAAATTAATTCATTTCAAACAACCAACTGTAAATTTTTAACTTTGTTTAGTAGTTAACAAACTTTCAATAAAGTCACAAATGGCTAACTTGAACCAAATAAGAATACAGACTTACGACAGTAAGAAATTCATAGAAATTTACAATATTTTAATTTAGTATATGGGTAAAATAATAATTCAACGTTGTACTTTGAAGCTTTCCACTTAACTAATAATATATAATATGTGCATTTATTCTCTCATGTAATTTTATATTCTATGTTGTTTTAAAAGAATGCTTTTTAAAATACTTGTTTTATTTGAGTAATTTGACCTTAGATGTTTAAGCACTTTTGGATTCTCAGTGTTGGGTGTTAATATGCAACAAAGTTTGATACTTGGAAGTTTGCAGGTTTCTTGTCCCAACTTGGAAAAGCTATATATACGGAATTGCGGAAAATTGAGAAACTTGATGTCTCCATCAGTGGCTAGAGGTCTTCTGAATCTCCGGAGACTAGAGATTGAAGACTGCCATTCAATGGAAGAAGTGATCACAGAAGAGGAACAACAAGGAGAAGGAATCATGACCTTATTTCCCCTGTTGGAAGAACTACACCTTCTAACACTTCCTAAGTTGGGGCATTTCTTTCTGACGGAGCATGCTCTTAAATTTCCATTTCTTCAACAAGTGGTGATATCTGGCTGCCCTGAAATGACGACGTTTGTCCAACAGAAATCTGTGAGTACACCAAGTTTCGAAAGTGTGAACAATGATGATGAGGTGAAAGTAGATGATCTCAATAAAGCCATGTTTAATTATAAGGTTTGTCTTGTGCCTCTACCTGTATAGCTAATTACTATATATATTTGTGTCATACGTTAATACACCCCTGGTCTACTGCTATCTTTCCATTTTAACTAGCAAATAATGATAGTAATATTAATCTTTTCAGATAGCTATAGGAAATAAAAGTTTTTTTTTAATCACCCCCCTCCTTCCACCCCTTTGAACAAAAAAAAATTGTTTTCAGAAAAACTTTATAGTTTTTTCTTCCCTCACACCCCCTACCCCAACCACCTTCACCCCAAAAAAATATTAACGCTTTTTTCTTTCTTTTTCGGATGAGCCTCTTTTACTCATTCTACTCATTTAAATACCCACTTTTAAATGGGTAAAATGAGTTTTACTCATTGTTTACCTATTTTAAATGAGGTGAGTACCCAATGCCTTTAAAATGGGTAAATTTGAATAGGTACCCATATAAATTATCCATTTTGCCACCCCTAGGCGAAATTGCAATATTGTAACGCAGGGTTCACGTGAACCCAATAGCTTTTGCCTAGTGACTTTAATTTGTATTATTAATATCTAGAGATACATTGATTATGAACGTGATTGTTATTGGATATTAACCTGAGGTTTTTAAAGATATCTATACATTTCAAATTATGAATTGGCATCTCATCCTAAATACTTTATATTTTGCGCCTCAATAGGATTAATAAGGTGAGACATATCGCCTTGCTTGTACTTTTTCATTTTTCATTTTGTTTTCATTATATATACTAGTTTCTGGACACTTGCACGTGTGTCCCATAAAAATGTTAATAGATCCATTAGAACGATAAGAGTTGTATGAAAACATGCTTGCAATGAGTACTAATGAAGCAATTACAAATAAAACTTGAAAAGTGTGACAAGAAACACCACATGAGTGGCGTAATTTAAAGTTTGAAATTAATTCATTTCAAACAACCAACTGTAAATTTTTAACTTTGTTTAGTAGTTAACAAACTTTCAATAAAGTCACAAATGGCTAACTTGAACCAAATAAGAATACTGACTTACGACAGTAAGAAATTCATAGAAATTTACAATATTTTAATTTAGTATATGGGTAAAATAATAATTCAACGTTGTACTGTGGAACTTTCCAGTTAACTAATAATATATAATATGTGCATTTATTCTCTCATGTAATTTTATATTCTATGTTATTTTGAAAGAATGCTTTTTAAAATACTTGTTTTATTTGAGTAATTTGACCTTAGATGTTTAAGCACTTTTGGATTCTCAGTGTTGGGTGTTAATATGCAACAAAGTTTGATACTTGGAAGTTTGCAGGTTTCTTGTCCCAACTTGGAAAAGCTATATATACTGAATTGCGGAAAATTGAGAAACTTGATGTCTCAATCAGTGGCCAACGGTCTTCTGAATCTCCGGGATCTAACGATAGAAGACTGCCAATCAATTGAAAAAGTGATCACAGAAGAGGAACAACAAGGAGAAGGAATCATGACCTTATTTCCCCTCTTGGAAGAATTGAAGCTTCGAAGACTGTTTAGTCTGGGGCATTTCTTTCTTACGGAGCACGCTCTTCAAATTCCATTTCTTAGAGAAGTGATGATATATGACTGCCCTGAAATGAAGACGTTTGTCCAACAGGGAATATCTGTGAGTACACCGAGTCTTCGAAATGTGAATCATGAATATGTGGAGAAAGTAGATCTCAATAAATGGACTCAACAGATGTTCACTTCTCAGGTTTGTGTTGTATAACTAATAAGTCTCTCTTTCTGTCTTAACGTAATATTCATATACTTATTTACGTTTGTCAAAATTGAAGCAACTTTCTTCTACAATATTTTCAATGAGAAATTTGAAGCATCACTATTCTCTGCACCCAGGAATAAAAAGCTAGTCAAGGCGATATTTCTGAATCTGCTAATGACTCGAAAGGGTGAACCATGATTTTGGAGGTGTTGGCAAAGAAGCCGAACCTAGTCATGGAGGAAGCCAGTGATGTTATTAATCTAAAGCTATCTAGGAAGGTAATAAGTATTCAATGAAATAGACCATGTTAGCTTGAACATCGCCTAATACCTATACCATTGTTTGTTGATTTTTGAAAGAAGGGGTGGATCTTGAAGAAGTGGCACGAGCCTAGAGTAGCAGCCTATTACATATTGTCGGGCCCCTTTGATATCTTATTAGTCAAGTGCTAGCGCCCCTTTAGAGTAAGATGCTCGTGATGGAGGTAACAAGCAAAGGCGGATCGATATTATGATTCATGGATTCACGTGAACCCAACAGTTTTTGCCAAGAAACTTTGTATTTGTACAAGTAATTCTTTATTTGCATATTCTCTGACTTTCTGATTGATTTTGATTCAAGGACAGTTTTTTTCTGAAAATTTGGACAAATGAAAGTAAACTAAGAAAGAAGCACTTCATAAACTATTGTCTGGAAAAGGTAAACCTTTGAAGACTGTTTTGGAATGTGAACTGAAGACTAAAAGTGAAGTCTTCGTTTAAAATTCTTTTTTAATTTTTGTTTCCTACAATTATTATTTGATTGATCTTTATATACCACCATATCTTCTTGTATAGCCCCAAAACCAAGCTAATATTTCAAAGCTCCGAGCATTGTCTGCTGAAAACTATTGTCATGGTGCCTACGTCAGCTTGTACACACAGTGGTGTGTTCCACGGTGTATCAAGTTAAAGTAACTTGTAACAAAATGTAACTATATCATGTACTTGTCACTAAAATACACTGATAATGTAAGAGTTGCTTCCATTGCCGGTGTATAAAAGTTAAATTATTTGAAGTGCCACTTGAGATTCTATCATTTCCTTCAATTTGTGAGTGCTCTTATACTAAAATTTGTTGGCTTTTGTGTGTTTGAATAATTTGCAGAAAACATAAGTGCCAATAGTAGAAACTAAACCACCACAAAACAACATAGTTGTTGATCAAAGCAAGAACATAAAAATGACTCTGATGATAGAAGAGAAGGGTAACACAAGGCCCCAACGCAATAATAATTCCACGGTCAAGACAAACTAGGAACCTTGTGAAAGATATATTATCTGGCTTTGGTTCGTCATCAAAATACTCCTATTGGAAGTTCAAAGCAAGGACATAAAAGTGATGGCTCTTTGTCGAGCACAGAAGGAGCTTTGACCATGTAAATGCTTTGCTCGAGCTCCTTCATTGCTTCTCTCTAGTACTCATTGTCTTTCTTTCCTTTCATCCCGTATGATTTGCCAACTCATGTTAATAGCAAGAACATGCACATGATAGATCATATATCGTATCATATCATATAAAAGAGAATCCTAGGCCCGCCTATGTGGCGCTATCACAAATCAAGATTTCCTTTAAATTTATTTAATTCCAAAACTAGTCTTCCCCTCCTCTCAGAAACCTTCACAACCGTCACCACCATCTTACAAGCCTCACCAAATCTTCCATATGTATAAATATCAGCCCCCCTTTGAACTTACTTAAGAAACTGATCGCCAGATAGGAATACCCGTTCAAACGTAAGTTTAACCAACTAGTACCAGAATGAAGTATTGCGCCAAACTATGTGAGTTAGCTGGCTTAGATGAATATATAACAACTATACCTTGAGAATTTTCTTTTTAGTTTTGGAATTGTGAATGTTTCTCCCTTAATCCTATGTATACTTGCATTGTTGCATGCATTAGTCTACTATTTCTCAATAATCTTACTTTACCTTTGGTGATTTGAGTTAATCATTTCTTGTCTAGGGGTGGTACAATATAGATTGAAGGTCAATGTCATTTATTAGAGCTTTGAATGAAATATGAAGAGTTGCGACTTTCATGAAAAATTGCAACTTTTATGAAGAGTTACGAATTTTATGAAAATTTGTGACTTTTATGAAAACTAAGGTTGTGACCTTTCCGAAGGGTTGTAACTTTTTCAAAGAATTGTAACCTTTCCGATAAGGCACAATAAACATTTGTTCACACTACCCTTTGTTGTCTATAAACAGAGGGATTTCCTCTCTTCTTCTTCTTCTCTTCTTCTCCTTCTTCTTCTTCTTCTTCTTAATTAAATATTTGTGTACTTTGCTCCTCTTGAGAGGTTCATTGACACCATTGTTTTTGTATCAATGCACTGGTGAATAGAATAGTTCTATATATCCTGAGAGGATTTATTCCTTTAAACCTCGGGTACTAGAGGGGAATAATTTCCTTAAGGGGACAATGTGCATTTAGTGGGCTCGGTTTTTTGCTTTATGTTTCATTCTATTGTTAAAGATCCTAGTATTTTTTTTACAGACATTAATCTATGTTTATGTTATTAATTGTTGTTTTGAGTACATGCTTTAAACTTTGTTGTTTATGTTTCTGCCAAGTTATTGTTATAAGTATTTGTTAGTAAGATTAAATAACACATGTTAATTGAGTATTTCCGCATGTTTTCTCTAATGCAATTGTTGAAGGTACAATAAAAAAAATCCCTTGAAATCTATACTACCATCTCTTGAAAACAAAATTCAAATTTGGTATGCCATTGTAAGGACATAAAGACCTTAAAAATCTTATCGTACCTTGATGTGTGAAGTAAACCAGGAAAAGAAGACAAAAATTAATAAACTTTTGACATAGTTTCAAGGATGTTGTGTGGATGACCTATAGAGGAATATGACTAGATTGAAGCCTCTTTTAATCCCAACGACATAGATAACTACACAATAAATTAATTTCTCATATTGAATATGAAGTATGAATAGATTCTCAAGTTTACTGCAAGTTGTAAATATTTTTCTTGAAGTAATAGATGTGTTTCTCGACACTGCGATTGGAATAGAAATGTAGTTTCAAATTGAACTTCATCACTCTGGTATGCTGAATTTTATAAAGAACTCAAACAAACTGAATAATTGTGTAATATTTTTCTCTCTCACGTGTATATGAATTGTTGTCCAATATGATACATTCTTCCTTTAATTTTCCATTTTAATAATTTCTTATGATACATTTAAGTGAGAAACTTTAAAATGATATATGTCAAGAAAAAGGTAGGGCTGAACTTTCTACGCATTAAAATTAGAATATTTGTTCACTTTTTTCAGCTTTTTAAAATTTATTTATCTCTTCACCAACGATCATTTATTTATCAGAAAATTTAATATCTCAGGTTGTTGTTCATTTGATTCTCTAAAAATATCAAATAGTAACACTTCCTGAAAGCAAAAGGATAAATTATAAAATTATTAATGTTTGTTACTATGTAATTTCATATGTAAGATAATATATGAGACATAATAACATTTTATTTGAAATTCTAAACGTGGAGGTAGCTGAGAAGTTTTTCAAATTCAGATTTCAACTTCAAGTTTAATTTGGAATTTCCATGATCAAAAGTAATTTTCTACTAAAGTAAAATTATTTCAGAAAAAAGACGGGTGATATAGTTCTATTACTCCGCGCGAAGCGCAAATAAGTTCAGTAGTTTATACTTATATGTTAAACATTTTTTGCTGACATGACAACATATGTGTGAAACACGCATGAGAGGTGCGTGAAATGCATCATTTAAAAAAAAGAATTATTTTTTTTAATTTTAAATTATCATCTCTTCTTCTTCTTTGACTCAACCACCATTGCCACCACTTTTCTACCACCGCAATCGCCGGCGTCACCACCATTAAAGCTCTTTCTCCTTCTTTCTCGACCTGTAGTTATTCTTCTTCTCCATGCCTCTTTATTTTTACCAAATTTGCCGTCTCCTTATCCACACTTTCCCTTTCCGTACTTTCTCTGATCATCTTCTTCCCCTTTTCTTTTCAGGTCATCATCTTTTTCCACTCTTTCACCAGCCATCACCCCTAAAACCCACCACTGACATCACCTCATTTTTCTCCAAATCTATCATTGTCACTATCTTTCTTTCTCCTTAGCCTTTCAAACAGTCAATCACAACTTTCAAATTTGCCACCTTAGTTTGTTTGTCGGAAAACACTACCATCATACATCTCTTTCTGTTCTATATCTCTTTTGTCAAATCAACCCAAACATAAATCAAACCTAAACCTAAGGACAAAACAAAAGATAAATCAAATCCAAACTTAAGAACAAACAAATCTAAAAAAAAGTAGAAAAACCTAGGAGATTTAAGTTTAAAAAATAAAAGAGAGGAAGAAGATGAAGTGAGGATGCAGTTCGGAGACGGCAACTGTAGTTTAGGATTTTGGTTTATTCATTTTTTTAATTATAATTATTTTGGGCCCCAAAACCACATGTCGTCTTTTAATAGTTATTTTGCCATGTCATGGCGAGCGCATAACATACTCTTTACATTTTTTTTGGTAATTATCAAAATGAGTCTAATAGGAACAATTTTGTATAGTAAAACGTGTTCAATAGGTATAAGGTCTAATTAGATTGTCTAAGTGAAATATGAAGACAATTTTAAAGGGTTGTGGATGACTTAAATCTAATACTACCTCTGAGGTACACTATACCCTCTTTAGATTCCACTATGTAGACTACATTGATATGTTGTTGATTTCATATAGATTTATCCTTAATAATTGAAATATAGAAATAATTTCACATTCTTCTTCACTGTTATCAGATTCAACAATTCAAAGAAAGAGAAATATACAATTAGTAAAGCACCCAATTCAAGGGTTCAATCAAAAGATGAATACTTTTTTCTAAGTCGTAGTCCCTTTTAACCTATTTTTAATTGGGCTTGGGTACCAAATCAACCTTTGTGAGCTTCCTTCCAGTTCT